GATATATCACAGCAATTATGTGAGAGATTTCCAAGACATGCGACAGCAGCTGCAGGACCGAGTAGTTGACGTTGACACAAAATTGACGACACAGCTTGGGCAGCGCGGAAAGATTCCAAGAAAGGAAGTTGAAACTTGGCTAAAGGATGCGCGCCGAGAAATTAATGAAAAGGTGATTGATGATCTGATCTGCAAAGGGGGTTGTTTCACATATATTTGCTCATCAAGAAAGCTCGATAAAGAGACTCACGCACTGGGAGTGGGGATACTTAGGCGAGGGGAAAGATACGCTAATGCTGGTGAGGTTTTGGTCATGGATGATCACTCATTCCTGTATCGTGCGAGGGTATTTGAAGAAAAGCAAAGGGAGGTGAAGCAGGTAATGGAAAAAATTGAGGCAGATTTGAAGACTCAGCTTCTGCAACCTGAAAAGATTGCCTGGAACAAAGTCGAAGATTGGCTGAAGAAAGCAAGCCAACAAGTTACCATGAAGGTTGAAGATCTGATCAGCCAAGGGGAATGTTCCTCATCAACCAACATCGAAGAAAAGATTCAAGAATTGAAGCAAATGCTTGAGGAAGGAAAAGAATTCACTAATGTTAGTGTGAGTTTAGTCATAGATGATCACTCAAAAAGAGGAGTTCCAATGCCTGCTGAAAAATGCATTGCACGGGATGAGGTACAAGAAGAAATTCTGCAACTATTAAGGGGAGACAAGGTTACAAGAATTGCAGTTTGTGGAATGGGTGGTGTGGGCAAGACAACAATCATGAAGCAAGTCCACAACCAACTATTAAAATTAAAAGAACCCACAATTGAGAAAGTTATTTGGGTTAAGGTATCTAGAGACTTTGATATTGTTCTCCAACAAAAAAAGCAGTTTGATATTCTCAAGTTTCAGAAGAGCGTTGCAGGAAGCATGGGATTAAACCTGAAGAATGAGGGTGAAGATGCAATTAATCTTGCAAGACGAATATCACAAAGCTTGCAACAGGGTAGTCGTGTTTTAATTCTGGATGATGTGTGGGAGCCTTTTTCTCTAGAAGATGTTGGATTCCTTGATCCAAATGGAAATGATGCTTGCAAGATGGTGCTCACAACACGGTCACAAGAGGTTGCTAGTAGAATGCAGTGTAAGGAGATTTATGTGAATCCTCTTCCAGACGATGCAGCATTAGCATTATTCTTGGACAAAGTTGGAAGTGAGGTGGTGTCCTATCCCAGATACAAAGTTGATATAGAACCTTTTTTGAATCAGATTTTGAAGAAATGTAATGGTCTACCCCTTGCTATTGGGGTGGTGGCAAAAACCATGAGAGGAAAGTCTGATCGTTACTCATGGGAGATGGCAGATAAAGAATTGAGCAAATCTAAAGAAATTGTTGATCGTTTGAAATTCAGTTATGATCACTTAGAAGAACAATATAAGGAGTGTTTTTTATATTGTGCATTGTATCATGAGGATCATGAAATCCAAAAAGAGGAGTTGATTGAGTTTTGGATTGAGGAGGGATTTATAATAGATGAAAGGGGGTCTCGACACTTAATGATTTGTGAGGGCCATTCTATTATTCAGAAGTTGATAGACAATTGCATGTTGGAATTGGTTAAAAATAAAAACCAATTCTATTGGATGGGACCGCATGGAAAGGTTAGAATCAAAAAGAAAGAAGATTTGGTGAGTATGCATGATCTTCTCCGAGAAATGGCATTGAAGATTATTCATCCTCAATTCATGGTGAAAGCTGGCATGGCCTTGGAAGAGCTACCGGAGGAGGATGAATGGACAGAAGATCTTTTGAAGGTTTCTTTAATGAATAATAACATTAGAGAATTTCCTTCAAGTATGTTGTCTCCCAAGTGTCCAATGCTCACAACCTTGTTGTTGTCTAAAGCCAATATTATAACAATTCCAGAAGCCTTCTTTGATCATATGCCTAGGCTGAAGATCCTTGATCTTTCTGGCAATCACCAGCTACATAGGCTGCCGAGTTCTGTTTCTAAATTAGAGAGCCTTACGACACTACTGTTGGAGAATTGTGAGTCCTTAGAAGAGGTACCATTTTTATCCAACCTTGGAGGCTTAAAAAAGTTAAACCTTTATGGGACATCGATTAAAGAACTACCCCAAGGTCTCAACATGTTAACCAATCTAAAATATCTTTGGCTTGGTAGAATGTTATCTGATATACCTAACGGATTGCTACGAAATCTCTCCAAACTTCAGTGTTTAAGAGTAGATGGGACTATACCGTTGAAATGGGTGGAGATTGGAAGATTGAGTAAGTTGGAATCTCTTGATATCCGGTTGTCTATGCTGGATGATATGAGGCTCTTTGTTAAGTCTGAAAGAAAGTTTTTAAATCAATACAGAATTTCTGTTAGAAGCTGCAGTCAACATGATGGTTGTTACTTTCATGACGAAACCTTTTCAAATGTTATGAAATCAATTGTATGCTATTGTATTGATATATGTAAGGAGCCTAACTGGTTACCATCTGATGCACAAGGCTTCTACATCTTAAACTGCAACTGCAAGGATGTGAGAAGCTTGGACGACATTTCTGGCTTTCAAGAAGCAACCGACTTGCGGCACTGCGTTGTTGATCAATGTGATGGCTTGGAGTTTGTTGTTTCCTCACGCTGCTTAAACCCGCTCCAAAACCTTGAGTCGCTATACCTTTTTAATCTGAAAAAATTGAATGCAGTTAGGGCAGTAGAAGCAGTTGCCAAGTCAGCACCGCTGCCAGCTGGCACTTTTTCTTCTCTTCAAAATATTGAAGTTGGGAGATGTGGAAAAATAAAGAAGTTATTGCCGCTTAGGTTGTTGCGGTATCTCCAGAATCTACAGACCATTGAGGTTATGTATTGTGATCAAATGGAGGAGATAATATGGTCCGAATATGAAGAAGAAGGAGAAAAAGCCCTAGAAAAACTCACTCTACCAAAGTTAGAAAGGTTGGGGTTGGGGTATTTGCCCGCATTGAAGAGCATCTACAGTGGCTCTACTACTGTCTTGATCTGTGATTCCCTCAAAGACATTCAAATTCAGTCGTGCCAAGAAATAGAGAGTGTTTTTTGGACGGGGTTTAACCCACTTCCAACCCTTGAGAATCTAGAGCTTCTGCACTTAAAGAATCTGAAATCCGTGTTTGATGAAGAAGTTCTTGGTTTATCGGCTCGTCCCACCAACTTTTTCTCTCTTAAAACAATTGAGGTGTATGATTGCCCTAAATTAAAGAAAGTATTTTGGACGGGGTTTAACCCACTTCCAACCCTTGAGCGTCTAGGGCTTCGGTGCTTAGAGAATCTGAAATCTGTGTTTGATGAAGAAGTTCTTGGTTTATCGGCCCGTCCCACCAACTTTTTCTCTCTTAAAACAATTCGTGTGGTATGGTGCCCTAAATTAAAGAAAGTATTCTCATCTGGATTGCTGCTTGGCTACTTCCAATCTCTAGAGACTATTGAAGTTGAAGGCTGTTACCAAATGGAGGAGCTGATATCATCATCAACCTATGAAGAAAAAGAAGCCCTAGAAAAAATCACTCTACCCAAGCTCCAAAGGTT